AAACAATCAGAATAATAGAATCATAGTGATCTTGAAGGTCTTTTCCAACTTTAATGATTCTAAGTTCAACTGCCAGCCCTACCCTCTCATGACCACTAAACTATTTCACTCAGCACCACCTCCACCCATTTTTTTAACACCTCCAGGAGAGGTGCCTCCACCACCTCCCTGGGCAGCCTGTTCCAAGGTCTCACCACCCTTTCCGTGAATAAATGTTTCCTAATACCCAATCTGAACCTCCCCTGGAGCAACTTGACTCCATTTCCTCTTGTCCTATCACTGGTGACCAGGGAGAAGAGCCCAACACCCTCCTCACCACAACCCCCTCTCAGGGAGCTGTAGAGCAATGAGGTCTCCCCTCAGCCTCCTCTTCTCCAGGCTGAACAGCCCCAGCTCCCTCAGCCTCTCCTCATCAGACCTGTTCTCCAGACCCCTCCTCAGCCCAGCTCCTCTCCAGCCCCTCCATGTCCTTCCCATCCTGCGGTGCCCAAACCTGCCCCCAGTGCTCGAGGTGCAGCCTCACCAAGGCTGAGCAGAGGCAGGATCCCCTCCCTGGTGCTGCTGGCCACACTGTTCCTGATGCAGGCCAGGATGGTGTTGGCCTCCTTGGCCACCTGGGCACACGCTGGCTCATGTTCAGCTGCTGCCAACCAGCAGCCCCAGGTCCCTCTGCTGGGCAGCTCCAGCCACTCTTCCTCGAGCCTGTAGCGCTGACGGGGGGTATGTTTGGCAGCTCCTCCCTGTCGCTGCAGTGCTGATCTCAGTCGTGCCCATTCCAACAGCCCATTCCAATCCTCATTATGCTGTCACTGGGGACACACCTGCTCATTGCAACACCACCAGCTCAATGTGAGGAAAAGCACAAGTGGCCAGGTACAGAGCAGCAGAAGGACCTCTCTCCTCCAAAAGCTCGTGCCTTGAGATCCTGAGACTGTGATGACCCCACCTCTGCAGCTCAGCTTCCCCCTGTCCTGCGTATGTCTGCACAGCCAGATGTCTCCCCACAGTGTAGCCATAGGGCTGATGATGATGTTAAACTCCCTGGACATGAGAGGATATACATCCATCTCCTACCAGTGATGCTGCACTCACTCACTTTAGGTCCAGCATGAGGACACAGATGAACAAGAGCAGGGTTCCTGCAGCCAGGAGACACAGACTGAGATCCTTGGAGGGCAGGTACCAAAAGCCATGTGGACACTCAGGTCATTCAGTAATAACACCAAAGAGCCTCTCCTCCAGCACCTCCTGGTCAGCCAGGTTTGATATGGTGCAGAGCATCCCACCACTGTTGAGGACCAGTAGGCACACCAGCACACAGGGCAAGTCCACAGTGAAGAGGCTGAAGGAAGGATGAGGTGGACATAAACAAAGGAAGGACACAAAAGGTGGTTCTGACTTCCTCTACCACTCTGAGCTCTTTGGGTTGAATACAAGCAAGATGAGGAGGTCAGGGTGGCAGGACTAACTATTTCACAGAGTAACTGAGGTGCCCAGGGCCTTCCTCTGGTTTGTCCCAAGCCTTGGGAACTCTCTTAGATATAGGATGCACCAGCTGCAGCAGATATACAAGTGCAGGGACATACCCAACCCAGCACAGGCAGCATGGCTGCAGAAGACCTCTGCCACTTCCAGCAGCCTCTCACATGCAGGCAAAAGATACAGGGGTGCCTAGGTCTGGTTCAGGTGTGTGTGGATCTGATGCTGAGCAGTGGACTCATTGTGTAGATGAGAGCAAAGGCTCTGTGACCAGATCTCCTTGACACAGAGCTATGAGTCCTCTGGGCCATCCACCTCCCTTGAAGTGCCATGACTAGTCTAAAAATGTTTTACACAAAGACATCCTTTTGATCCCAGGTGTTTGGAATTCTTTGCATATCTGTGAAAATAGAAGAGCCTTTAATACTTGGAGCATTATGAAAATGAGCAACAGTGGTGACAGCAAACAGTGATTAACTATTAAAGTGTGTTTCATCAGGAAGAAAGAGAAAGGATAGCACAGAGGGACACCTGTCACTGTTTTGGGCCACAAAGACCATCTCATAATTAGCCCCTCATCTTCCTCTCTCAGTCCACAGCTAGTGTGTATGGACTGGTGGATGGAGTTGGTAAAGAGAAACTTCATTCCCTGAGAAATACCCACAGGAGTGAGAGGGGGGATTACAGCTGGGGCAGGGGGTGTTGGGAGACACAGTGAGGGGTGGGGTGAGAGAGAGGATGAGGGAAAGGGTCAGGAGAAGAGTTGGGTGAGGGACAAGCTTATGGCTGGAAGCAGAGACAGCATCAAGATCACAGTCTGAAGCTAGGCCAAGGCCAGAGAATACAGAATACAGAATCATCATGGTTGGATCACCAAGATGACTGAGTGCAATCATCAATACAAAAAAACCCCCAAGAAACACAACCAACCACACACACACCACCAAACACCACCCACAAACCCCCCACAACCTTGGCCACTAGAGCATGTCCTGAAGTGCCACATCTACACGTTTCTTGAATACCTACAAGGATGGTGACTCAACCACTTCCTTGAGGCTGTTCCAGTGCCTGACCACTCTTGCAGAATAGAAATTCTTCCTAATCTCCAGTCTAAACCTCCCCTGCTGCTACTTCAGGCCATTTCCTCTGTTCCTGTCATCATTCACTTGAAAGAAGAGGCCATCACCCACCTCCCTACAATCTCTTTTCAGGCAATTGTAGAGGGCAATGAGGTCACCCCCCAGCCTCCTCTTCTCCAAACTAAACAACTCCAGTTCCCTCAGCTGTTCCTTGTATGACTTGTGCTCCAGACCTTTCCCCAGCTTGGTAGCTCCCCTGGACATGCTCCAGCCCCTCAACATCCGTCTTATAGTGAGAGGCCCAGGATTGAACATGAGGTGCAGCCTCAACAGTGGCTGGTACAGCGGCAGGATCCCCTCCCTGGTGCTGCTGGCCACACTGTTCCTGATGCAGGCCAGGATGGTGTTGGCCTCCTTGGCCACCTGGGCACACGCTGGCTCATGTTCAGCTGCTGCCAACCAGCAGCCCCAGGTCCCTCTGCTGGGCAGCTCCAGCCACTCTTCCTCGAGCCTGTAGCGCTGCCGGGGGGTGTTGTGGCCAAAGTGCAGGATCCCACACTTGGCCTTGTTGGGCCTCATCCCATTGGCCTCGGCCCATGGATCCAGCCTGTCCAGGTCCCTCTGCAGAGCCTCCTGCCCTCAAGCAGATTGACACTCGCTCCAAACTTAGTGTCATCTGCAAACTTACTGGGGGTGCACTCTGTGCCCTCATCCAAGTCATCAATGAAGATGTTAAACAGGAGTGGCCCCAGCACTGAGCCCTGGGGACAGCACTGGTGACTGGCCTCAGCTGGGTTTATCTCCACTGAACACACAACTCTTTGGACCCCATCATCCAACCAGTTTTTTTACCCAGCAAAGCATGTGCACATCCAAGCCGCAAGCAGCCAGCTTCTCCAGGAGAATGCTGTGGGAAACCTTGTCAAAGGCCTTGCTGAAGCCAAGGTAGACACATCCAAAGCCCTTCCCTTGTCCAGTGTGTGTCACCTTGTCATAGAAGGAGATGAGGTTGGTCAAACAGGACCTGCCCTTCATTAACCTGTGCTGACTGGGCATGATCACCTGGTTGTCCTGCATGTACCACTTAATGGTATTCAGGATGATCTGCTCCATCAGCTTCCCTGGTACTGAAGTCAGTCTAATTTCCTCGATCATCCTTCTGACCCTTCTTATATATGGAGGTGACATTGGCTGATCTGCTGGTACCTCTCCAGTCAGGCAGGACTGCTGGTAAGCGATGGGAAGTGGCTTGGTGAGCACCCCCACCAGCTCTTCCAGCACTCTCGGATGCGTCCCATCTGGCCCCAAAGATTTGTGCACCTCTACATGGTGCAGCAGGTCACTGACCATCTATCTCCTCCTGGGTTATGGGAGGTCATTCTGTTTCTGGTCCCTGTCCCCTGGCTGAGGGAGATGGATTCCCCCAACATAACTGGTCCTGTTACTAAAGACTGAGGCTAAGAAGTCATTAAGCACCTCAGCCTTTTCCTCATCCTTCATCAACATGTTTCCTCCTGCATCTAATAGGTGGAGATGGAGGGTCCCTCTGGTCTTTCTTTTGTTGTTTGTGGTCGGGCTACTGAACAAATTAGAGTTTGTCCTTTGGAAGTCTAGGGTGGCAGTTTTGCTGCCCTCACTGGCACCTCTAGGAATAGAGAACTGCAACAGCCCATGGTTGCTGTGCCCAAGATGCCTCCAACCATCACATCTCCTGCCAACCTCCCTGTTCACAAAGAGCAGGTCAAGCAGGGCACTTTCCCTGGTTCCTTCACACCTAAATCCATCTCTTATAGTGTATCATACACCATAAGCTATAGAATGTAGTGTCAACTATATAATATGATAAAATATATGATTAATATAATCTGCAATATAATATAATGTAGCATAACAGGCAAAAATATTATATTATATTATATTATATTATATTATATTATATTATGTTATGTTATGTTATGTTATGTTATGTTATGTTATGTTATGTTATGTTATGTTATATTATGTTATATTATATATATACATTGTATGTAGCATAAGAGGTAATGTAATGTGTAACATACATATACATATAAAATAGCATCTAGCACATAGAATGGCATGAGAACATGGAGTGGATTATGTGCAACACAGGATGACAGAATATATATCATCTCTTATTATTAATACAACCTGTAATATATCATCACGTAATACAGTGCATGATGTGCAATGTTATCAAGCACGTGGCGTGTCCTTTACAGCATCTAAATATGATGCTTTGCGTGTGTCATGCACGCAGCGATGCGATAATTCGGGTACCCCGGGCGCGCGGGCAGCCCCGCCGCGCCGGACGCGCCGCAGACACACACGGCACAACCGCACCCCCCGCACTTGCCGGGGGGCAGGGGGGGCCCCGGGGGCTCCGGCCCGTCCCGGTGACGCCGCGCGGTGACATCAGCCCCGTGTCCCGCGCATCCTCCATCCCTCCCGCATCCCGGCGCCATGGCCGCCAGCCCGGCCTACGGGGACGAGAAGGGGGGATCGTCCAGCCTCGGGGAGCCCGAGTACGGCCACGACCCGGCCAGCGGCGGCATCTTCTCTTCAATGATGTTAAGGCACAGAGCAAAACAAATGTTAGCGTTTAAAAAGGACTTATATATTAGACAGAAGTGTCGTATATATGATATCTTTTGCCAAATAAGCATATTTACTACACTAATTCAAGGTATTGTAAGGTACAACCTGTAGAAAAGAAAAATCTAGGTTACCATAGCTCACTGAAACCAGATAGCATCTACACCAAATATTACCGAAACATTTCAGAAAGCAGAAAACCAAAGATGATTGCTCAATAAGGACTCTACGAACTTCATAGTTCTAGTAATCCTTAATAAACCCACACTTAATCCCCAGTCCATTAACTGTTGGCCTAGCTTAAATCCCTCTTTCCTCATAATTGATACTTCTTAACTTGTAAGATTCACATCTCAAAATCAGAAGTCAAAGTAGAAAACTAGTATGACTTATAACTTTTAAGTTTATACTGCTGGGCTCATCTACAGCCTCTTGAACATTAGATACAGATAAATCACCCATAAAGCAAAAAAGTAGATACTAAGTCACTCTCCTGAACAGAAGTCAGTTAATGGTGACAGATAAATGTTGCCATCTACAAAAAGTTTTCACCTCCAGTGTTCCCCCAGATTACCTTCTCTGTTTCTCTTCCAAATCTATCAGTCCACTGATAGCAACATGCCTTGGTCTTTGTTTCCAACATTAGACCAAATGTATAACTTATAGAATCATAGAATCATAGAATCATAGAATCTTAGGGGCTGGAAGGGACCTCGAGAGATCATCTAGTCCAACCCCCCTGCCAGAGCAGGGTCACCTAGAGTACATCACACAGGAACTCATCCAGGTGGGTTTTGAATGTCTCCAGTGAGGGAGACTCCACAACCTCCCTGGGCAGTCTGTTCCAGTGCTCTGTCACTCTTACAGTAAAAAATTTTTTTCGGATATTCACCTTGAACCTCCTATGCTCCAATTTACACCCATTACCCCTTGTCCTATCACTGGTCATCACTGAGAAAAGCCTAACTCCATCTCCCTGACACTCACCCCTTACATATTTGTAAACATTGATGAGGTCACCCCTCAGTCTCCTTTTCTCCAAGCTAAAGAGACCCAGCTCCCTCAGCCTTTCCTCATAAGGGAGATGTTCCACTCCCTTAATCATCTTCGTAGCTCTGCGCTGGACTCTTTCAAGCAGTTCCCTGTCCTTCTTGAACTGAGGGGCCCAGAACTGGACACAATACTCCAGATGTGGCCTCACCAATGCAGAATAGAGGGGGAGGAGAACCTCTCTTGACCTACTAACCACACCCTTTCTAATGCACCCCAGGATGCCATTGGCCTTCTTGGCCACAAGGGCACATTGCTGGCTCATGCTCATCCTCCTGTCTACCAGGACCTCCAGGTCCCTTTCTCCTACACTGCTCTCCAGCAGGTCAGCCCCCAACCTGTACTGGGACATGGGGTTTCTCTTCCCCAAATGCAGAACTCTACACTTCCCCTTGTTGAACTTCATCATGTTTCTCCCTGCCCAACTCTCCGGCCTGTCTAAGTCTCTCTGAATGGCAGCACAGCCTTCTGGTGTGTCAGCCACTCCTCCCAGCTTAGTGTCATCAGCAAACTTGCTGAGGGTACATTCTGTTCCCTCATCCAGGTCGTTGATGAAGATGTTGAACAACACCGGTCCCAGTACTGACCCCTGAGGGACTCCACTAGTCACAGACCTCCAACCAGATCCATTACTACCTGTTAGCATCCCCCAGTCTGGCAGCAACACCCCCGGTCCTGACCCACCAGCTGTGTCCCCCAGGCTGGATGTGTCTCCCCATCTGGCAGTGTCCCCTCTTGCTGATCCCCTGGCACTGTCCCCCAGTCTGGCACAGTCTCCTATCCATGACCCTCTGACAGTGTCCCCATCTCAAAGTGTCCCCTCCTTCCATGAGCTCTTGGCAGTGTTCCCCAGTTTGGCTGGGTCCCCCCAGTTCTGACCCCCAGGAATGTCCCCCAGTCTGGCAGTGTCCCTCAGTCCTGACCACCCTGGCTGAGTCCCCCATTCAGTGTCCCTTCAGTGACTTGCTATCAGTGTCCTTGACTCTGGCAGTGTCCCCCTTCCCTGTCTCTCTGTCAGTGTCCCTCAGTCTGGTCAGGTGCCCCCATCTCTGACCCCCTGGCAGTATCCCACAATCTGACAGTGTCCTCAGATCCCTGACCTGTTGGCACCATCCCTCAGTCTGGCCAGGTCCCCTCAGTGACCTGTAATCAGTGTCCCCCACACTATGGCAGTTTTCCCTGATCCTGCTCCACTGGCACTGTCCCTGAGTCTGGCAGTATCCTTCAGCCCTCACCTGCTGGCAGTGTCCCCCATCCCTGATGCCCTGGCACTGTCCCTGTCACTTGTGTGCTGCCCTGCGCTGGAGCCCATCCCTTTGTGGCCACACTAGATCTGTCACCAACACCATGAGCCGTGCATGGCACACAGAGCAAAAGAAATACCTCCCAAGTGCCACCCCACCACACAGGTGGGTGTCCCCTCATGACATGGGGTCCCTAGCCAGGACTGAGACACTCAGAGCACCCAGGGAAGGAGCTCCCTGCAATGTGTCCAAGCCCTGGATACAGGACGGGTGTCACTCGGGACGTGACAGCCCAGGGGTGGCCTCATCCACCAGGAAGGGCATCGGGATTGCAGCTGCAACCCAACCCCAGCATCAGGTTTCACCCAGCAGCGCTGGGAGGAGGAGCAGGGCCACAGCCCTGCCACTGTCCTCAGGGCCACCACCCCCAGCCAAAGCCATGCTGTCCCTGCCACCGGTGCAGAAGCTGCTGCTGCAGGGCCCCGGGGGG